CCTAGCAAGAAATGCCACACGGGCTGCTTCCTCTGGTGCGTGATCTGCCCCAACGGAGAATAAGCCCTCCGGCTTCTCTCTGTGTTGTGCGTGCCCTTCTCTGCTTCGGTCCGGAAAAAGCAAGGGGCTCTTAAAACCGCAAGGGGTACCAGAGTGGCCTCAAGAGATTTTGCCACCCGAGGCAGAGGCATAAAGGGCACAACATCACACACACACACATCAAAGGGCCTTGGCCTTAGATTCCCATCCTGCTTTGAATTCCCAGCAGGACTGTCTGAGTCACCCACAAATCTGGGCATCCTTGACCGTACCAATGACCCAGCAGGGCGGTCAGCTGACCTCTAAATGCCAAGGGAGACCCCTTCTTAGATCTTGAGCTACCCGTGCCTACGACACTGCGTGCTGTTTTGCGTCTGTGGCATATTTTACTGCTTCTCAAGAGGAAGAAGGAACTTCCTTGCCGTTGTCTCCCAACAACAGAAAACTCCCCGATGACTGCCATGGCGTTGCTTGGAAACCAGAAATGGCTCTTCATTGCCTGTGAATTTAGCACCAAAGGCATGTCTGTGGAGAGGAGATACCGAGGCCGTTGCGATAGGTAGGCGACCCAGTATCGGGAACCGTACACCTCTGGATTCCCGAAAGGCCCAAGCCTGAAAGATTCAGAACTGGCTGCCCAGTTTTCTTATCTACCTTAATTTTGATCGGGTTCCTACAGCCCTTTGCTTGTTGAGATTCTGCACTTCTTGGAAAAGGAACAGAAAAAAGAGGGAAAGAAGGAAGAACGGCTAGGAACGGAGAGAGAAATTTGTCACAATTTCTCATGAAATCGTGTGGCCTTCTGATGTAGATTGCTGGGCTGTGGCTCAGGAGACCCGGGTTCAAAACTGCTCAGCCAATGAGGCGGATTAGGCGGCCCTGGGGCAGTGACATCATCTTGGCCTGAACATCCTCAGAGTGTTCTGATGATTTTCCTGAGCTCCGTATCTCGCCTTCTAGCAAGCTTTGTCTTTCGACTGGTTGTTAGAAAATCAACACGGCCTTCATTGGCAAGTCTGATTGGCCAGGCATCGATCTCTAGGGTAGAACCATAGAATGATGATGTTGGAAGGGGCCTTGAAGGCCATCAAGTCCAACCAAGACAGGAATCAAAGCAGATTGGACAGAGGGTTGTCTAAATTTCTCTCGAATGCCTCCAGAGTTGAAATACTTCCCACCTCTTGAGGTCGTGGGTTCTATTGTCATACTGCTCTAACAGTTAAGAAAAAAATTCCCTGATATTCAGCCAAAATCTGGCTTCCTGTAGTTTGAGCCCGTTGTGATGTGTTCTGCATTCTGGGATGATTGAGAACAGATCCTGCCCCTCCCATGTAGAGCAGCTTTTCAAGTACAGTGGTGCCTCGCTTAACGAGGATAATCTGTTCCAGCGAAATCGCTCAGCGAAATCCTCTTTAAGCGAAATAAAAAATCCCATTGAAACGCATTGAAACCCCGTTCAATGCATTCCAGTGGGCTGAAAAACTCACCGTCCAGCAAAGATCCTCCATAGAGGCGGCCGTTTTCGGTGCCTGTAAAGTGAGGAATTCATTCAAAAACACAGTGGCGAGCCATTTTACACAGCAGGCGGCCATTTTGAAGCCACCAATCAGCTGTTTTAAAAACGTTGTAATGTGAAGAATCGGTTCCCGAAGCAGGGAACCGATCGTCGCAAAGCGGATTTTGCCTATTAAAACATCGTTTTGCGATCGCAAAAGCGATTGCAAAACATAACAAACATATCCATTTTGAAAGAAATCAAACCTGAGTGCTCACTGGAAGGACAGATCCTGAAGCTGAGGCTCCAATACTTTGGCCATCTCATGAGAAGAGAAGACTCCCTGGAAAAGAGCCTGATGTTGGGAAAGTGTGATGGCAAGAGGAGAAGCGGACGATAGAGGACGAGATGGTTGGACAGTGTCACTGAAGCTACCAACAAGAATTTGACCCAACTCCGGGAGACAATGGAAGACAGGAGGGCCAGACGTGCTGTGGTCCATGGGGTCATGAAGAGTTGGACATGACTTAACAACTAAACAACAAAAAGAAAAAACATTTGGGGGAGAAAAAAATCCAGAAATTCTCCCTAAGTTTTTAACATCAAGAATAATGAAAACCCATAGCATGCTCACTCTTTTTGTACCTTTTGATCTATTTATGGCAAGCCGGGAGAACCTTTGGCCATCCAGATATTTTAAGAGTATAATTCTCATCATTCCTTATCTTTCGTCACTCTGACTAGGCTTTTGGAATTGAAAACCAAGACATCTGGAGAGCCAAAAGTTCTTGATCTCAGAAACCCATCTGAGGCATGCTATTCGTAAAAACAGGATAGAAAAAAAATATAATATTGTGATTGAGTTCGTTAGAAATTTGAAGCAGCTCCGCTCTTTTGGTACAAAATGACGACTGAGCCTCTTTTAAAATATTAACAGATGTATTTGGATTAACATTTGGTGGTTCCACAACAACTTCTATAGGTTAAAAACAACTGATATCCGGCAACTGTCCTAAGTATGAAGACAAGGACTCCGTCTGTAAATTGGCAGGGTTCATTGAGGGTCTGGTCCAGAACATTCCCGGTCGGTGTTTTTCCTCATTGGAGCATCCCGAACCTCGCAAATTGTCCCGTAACAAGGGTGTCTGACCCAATCTCCCTCCAGTGGTGGTTGGCTGAAAGATTGGTCAGGTCAGATTACCTTCCTCAAGTGACCTGGTCCCTGCAGAAAGACCACAACTGTCCATTCTAGCACTGCTGTCGATGTTCCCTTTCCCTTTGACAAGTCAGGGTCAGGTAGAAATCCTACCTTCAAATTAGGGAAATCTTCTAATAACCCACACACTCTTTCATATCTCTGTTCACCTTTTTCCCTCTCTCTACTTTTTTCCTCTTTCCTTCTTTCTCCCCTGGATATACTGAACACTCTCCCTCTTCTCTGATCTTTTATATCTTCCTCCAACATTGGTAGAGTTAACTCTTCCTCCTTTTTCCCTCTTCCTTCCTCCACTAAACAGACTTCTATTTGAGGGGACGGCTCACTCTCATCTTTCTCTCTCTGCCTTATTTCTCCTTCACAAATCAACATAACACATAAAAGTTAATCAGGATTCTGTTGTCCTATGGGGCAATTGAAATGGTTCAGTAAGAAGCAGGCTTCTGGTTATGTCTTTGCTTGACTCCTTCTCTTCTCTTAGAATCCTTCCTTCAGGATTTAACTTTCATAAACCTTTCACTTGTTCAAGGAGGAACTGAGGGTTGCTGTAGAAGAGTAGTAACATTTAAACTAGGCTAGTGTGGCATTCTAGTTCCAGTCTACATTTTGGTGTTGTTCAGTTATTTTTAGAAGGTCCCACCACAGCTGTCTCAAGCATACCTAATTTTATTTATTTATTTATTTATTTGGTTTATATCCCACCCATCTGGTAGGTCAGTACCACTCTGAGCGGCTAACACAAAAAGTATAAAATTATAATAACATAAGTACAAAATATCAATAACAGAACATAGTAATCATAAATAATAAATAGGAAAGAAGAAAGGAATAATTCAAATTAGCTTAGAAGCTGGCAGGAGGGAAGGCCTTGACATAAAGCCATGGATTCTATAACTCTCTTGTCTTTTTTCAAGAAAGCCTCTTTTGACATGGTTTGCAATTGGTTGGTTAAATCCAGGAGTAAGTCACAACTGGAATAGAGTAGGCCCATTTGAATGAGCAGGGATTTGATAACTCCACCCCATCTTAAGTTCCTTTGGTTCAGTGGGCTTATGCTAGTTGTGATTTTTTTCTCCATGCCAAGGAAGAGGGGCAGCCCCCTCAGGCAGCTGATTTGGGGTTTCACGTAAGGCAGTGGTTCCCAAACTTGGGTTGTTAGATGTTCGTGAACAACAACTCACAGAAATTCTGGCCAGCACTGCTAGTGGTGAAGGCTTCTGGGAGTTGCAGTCCAAGAATATCTGGGGTTCCAAAATTGGGAACCACAGATGTAAGGAAAGAGGATTTCAGGTTGGTTGGTTGGTTGGTTGGTTGGTTGGTTGGTTGGTTGGTTGGTTGGTTGGTTGGTTGGTTGGTTGGTTGGTTGGTTGGTTGGTTGGTTGGTTGGTTGGTTGGTTGGTTGGTTGGATGGATGGATGGATGGATGGATCGATGGATCGATGGATCGATGGATCGATGGATCGATGGATATATTTTTATCCTGCCTCTCTCCTTCGTGTGGGTCCCCTGCTATGTTTTGGAGACCAATTCATTGCTTCACAGCAGATCCTGATCTAGTCCAAAGTGGTCTGTCCCTCATTCAGTTCAGCTTGTGTGTCCCAGAAAGGAGTCCATCTGTCTGGAGATGACAGAATTTGGGACACCAAGTTGGGGAAAGCTCTTTTCCCCATTGGTCATCTGCATTTTACACCAATAATTTCCCACCTGACCTATTGAAAGCACAACAGAGAATGGACACATCCAATTCTGATATTCATTTATTATTAAAGCAGCGGGACATTACAACAACGGATTCCATAGCCCACCTCGGACCAGCTGCTAGAAAGTAGCCTAAGGCAGGGGTTCCCAAAATGCCTTACTTAATCTCACCAAGGACTTCTTAAAGAGGAAAATCCTTGGAAGCAATCACATTTCCTTTCACGCCATGGACAAGACCCAAATCCGAAACCTTTGAGTCAGTTTGAGTCAGACCACATGGGCATTGGTTTTGAACACTTTATGTACCAGAGATCCTGCTTCAGGTAAGCCTCTTCACAGTTCTAACACAGGCCGGAAGTCTAATAGCGCTTACTCACTAGTAACCCTAGACACGTCCTCTTGGGTGCCACCAAACCATGCAGCTTGGCGGCTGTTGGTTGCAGACATGGAACATCTAAAGGACAGGGCTGGGCACCACTCACTCTGTCTCCGGCTTAATTAAATGCCCGTTGAAGGTGATGGTGGCTCTCTCCTATGGTGCACATGGGCTGGGCACCACTCACTCCATCTCTGGCTTAATTAAATGCCCGTTGAAGGTGATGTAAATATCGGACTCCTCGCTGTAGATGGCGTTCTCTCTCTCTCGTTTGAACATCCGCACCCAGACCTCGTCTCCTTCCTGGAGGTCGAGCATCAGGCTCTGGCTTTGCATGATGCTGCGCTCGCTGGGCTGCGAGTAGAGAATGGCCGCCTCGTTGTCGTTCTTCATGATGTGGAGGTAGGTCTCTTTGTAATTCCAGGTGTGGACGTTGAGGTTGAAGAAGTAGATCCCGGGGACATAGCAGAAGAACTTCCCAGTGAACATGTTGAAGTGCTGGTAGAGGTTGACCAGTTCCGTGTCAAACGTCACGTGCTGGTAGTAATCGGAGCTGTGCAGAGGCTTCCGCCGGGCCACCGAAAAGGCCACGTAATGCTGCTTGCAGGAATTGCCAGGTAGGCCAGGCTGACCCTTTTGACCTTTCCGGCCAGGATGGCCCCGTTGACCTGGTTCCCCCGCTTTGCCTTGTGGGCCCCAAACGCCTCTGTCTCCCCTCTCACCTTTTTCACCTAGAAGTACAAGGAGAAGTGAGGATTTGAAAGCGTTTCTGCCACATAGTCACGTACGGAGAAGAAAATGAAAGGGGACAAAGCATCCGGACAACCCGAGTCGAATGGGAAGCCAGATTTCGCCTCCAAAACTGGAAACAACGATCAGTGTTGAGCTGAGCTGTAGAAGGAGTGGGAACGCACCATTCTTGTGACATCGAATCAATTCCGCCTGATTTGTGTAACGTCCAAATTGAGACAGAATGGCCAAGGGCAAAGTGCAACGAATTTGCAAATCACTTTTTGATCCGGACCACAATTCAAATTGGACACAAGTCACTCTGGACCGTGTTTTCAAACCCCGAATTTCGCCACTTGGAGGAGCACCTCTCAAAAAACAAATAAACACTTCATGAAAGTAGGAACTACTTTGGCCCCAGTTCCGACGAGCCACTTTTATCACTGGAGAGGGTCGTCGTCAAGCGACGAAATCCATGTGTCTGAACTGATCCTGGCCAGGTTTCAGGACAAAGATACAAGGCGGCGACTGCTTACGTACCTTTCAAGATTGTGATGTCAATGGCAGGCCGGATCCTGGGCATGGAGTAGAAGGAGTCACCGGTCATCCGAGCGTAACGGGAAGCGGTGACAGAAGCTGGCTGCTCAGAAGGCCCACAGCATCTCACGCAGGAAGGGACCCTCCGGTTCTCCCTCTTGGGTAAGGCTTTTTCATCGAGTGGGTTGCTGGCACGCAGAGAAGATGCCAAGAGCAGCAGAAGGACGGCACGCATCTTGAACTAAACAACGGAAGGAAAAAACAGTTACTTGAAAGGGTGAGGACTGGAGGCAAGGGCATCTGCTTGCGGTTGCGTTGCAGGCTCTTCTGGTCAAAAGGCTCTGGGGCCCAGCTAGGCCTAGCACCCTGTCCAGGGACAAAGGTCCCAGGTAGCATTGGGACAGGAAGAGGAAGCATGGAGGGAGCTAGGCCGAGCTCAGCTACAAAGCCGCCCAGTTGAGGCTTTTCTCCAAGGTGAGCCACACATGTGGTTGTCTGTCCGGTCGAAATTCCGGAATGAAGAATGATGGGATTTGTAGTCCAAGTTTGTTTGGTGTTTTTTTTTAAAAAAATCCGTTCCCTAACCAATACCTTACATAGGAAGATAAGAAAAGAACTTTTGACTAAACGTCAAGAAGAACCTGCAAGGGGGGTCAGAGCCATTCAGCAATGGAGCCGTCAAACTCAACTGCTGGATAACTCAATCATCTAGCCATCTGCCAGCGTAGCAGACGTTGGAAGTTCAGCTTCCCACTGCACCTTCTTGGCAGGGGCTGGACTCCATGATCCATTCCAGCTCTGCTGTTCTAAGATGATGAAGGTGATGATGATGATAGCAAGTAGTGGGCTCTTGTCCGCTGGAGGATTTTAATCAGAAAGTGGGTGGCTGTCAAAAATGCCTTCGGTTGGTCCTCCGACATTGGCAGTGGTTAGACCAGATGGCCCTTGAGGTGTCTTTGATTCTAAGAAAATTGGAGGTGTGTTGCAGCCATTTTTAGCTTCCAGCGCACTTCAGTGGAAAGGTTTTACAAATCAATACAGGGTCCAAGTCAAATCAGATGAGTCATGGAACTGGGACCCCATCCCAGATCTCTCCTGAATCAAAGCGAGGACTGCTACACCCAGCGCTAATGAATATGCAGTTTTGGATGAAACAAGCTTGTCCTGGAAAGGGATTTGACGGAAAGGGCATTACGTGGACATGCAACGAATGCAACCGATCGATACCCTAATTTCATTTCTTCGACAGCAAGCCAGTTAGTTCTTAATACCAGCAGACTCCCATCCCTTTCTGCTGAACTGTGCAGCCAAAGACGATCTGGCACTCCACAGAGCCAGGGAAAATGCATCAATGCTGTTATAAACCCTCTTTTGCTGGAGAAACATTCATCTCCGCTGTCTGATATTTATCTGCTGTGACCACTGGCTGGAAAAAAAAATGATGTACGACTAGGGCTTGGTGGAGTCTGAGAATGGCAAACGCTGATCGAATTCCTTTTTGCTCACTTCTCATGGGGCAAAGACAGTGATTAAATGGTGGCTTCCGTTGATCCGAGAGAGATATACTGGTTTATTAGGGTTGTTATGGAAAATGAAGACGCCTCCTGTTAGAAAAGAGGGAGAACTCCCATGTCTGTCTCGGTGACTCTCTCACAGAATCGTTCCCACCCACACACCTTTGGTAGCCAAGAAGTGGTTACAGTAGGGCCCCTGTATCTGCAGGTTCAATATCCACTGATTCACTTATCCACAGTCTGAAACTATTTAAAATATTAAAAGAAAAATCCTAGAAATTTATATTTCTAAAGATGAAATTACAAGGAAGGAAGGAAGGAAGGAAGGAAGGAAGGAAGGAAGGATGGATGGATGGATGGATGGATGGATGGATGGATGGATGGATGGATGGATGGATGGATGGATGGATTCACTGCCTTATGGCTTTGCTGTAGAAATCTGCTGAGAACCTAGGCAAAGATTTACAATCCCTACAGCAACAACTGCATCCAGGCAAGTTTTGTGTTGGAATTGTGTTGGTTTTTGCTCTAAGAGGATGACCAACCTTTCCTTGTTGCCTGGAAAGTCAAATCCAAGGACAGGACTCGGTGCTCACACGCAACCAGAACAAACATTATTCAGCCCAGATAACCTCTCGGCGTGCTGTGCTTCTCGTTGCTCCCCTTATGTGCCAACCCACACCCTTTCGAGGCAAAGCCACCCACATTTTTTTTCACCCTCTTCTTATCGCCTTCGGCTTCTGTGACCCAGCAGCACTACCAACATTGTGTTATGTAAAACGTTGCTGCAAATGAACTATTCTTCTTTTCATTTTCTGTGTGTTGCTTTATAAGGGGCTGGGCTATACGGTCATTCAAGGAAAACACGGATAGCTCAGTGAGTTAGGCCTTTGGCTGTGGAGCCAGAGGTAGGGAGTTCGAGCACGGATAGCTCAGTGAGTTAGGCCTCTGGCTGTGGAGCCAGAAGTAGGGAGTTCAATTCCTTACCCGGTCTTGAACAGAAGCTTGAAGGTTCTGCTTGCGAACAGACAGGAGCAACACAGCTGGGGCCATCAGGAGAATCAGAATCTGCCTCGCTTTTAAATTCAGAATTCCCAGAAAATATCCTTGAGGGAAAACGTGCTGTTATATCAACACGGGCTCAGATTTTCTGCTCCTGCAAAGAAAGATACTGGGATGTTTACAAGAAAAGACTGAGTCCGAAGGAGGGTGCGCGGGCGGGAATCAGCACTGCAAAACAGCCGCCTTTTTCGGAAAGAATTTCTTTCTATTTTTTTTTTCTTCTGGGACAGACGACTGATAAGCTCCCCCACGGCCAAGGTTTTTCCTTTCCAGACAAAACCGGCTCCTCGGCTGTTGTGGGTTATGACACTCGCGGCTCAATCCCTTATTTGACGGCAAAAAAAAATTAGGAGTCCTAAGGAAGCAGCTGAGAAAATTGCACTTTTGGATTACAAGTCCCATCACTCCTTGCTCAGTTGGGGATTCTGGGAGCTGTAGTCCAGAACAATCATCTTTGCACGTGCAATAAGGGAAGTTACTGCAGACAAGAAATATCATTTTTCATCAATCAGGGTAAGGGTTAAAATGCTAATGCACGGATACCGAAACATGCAGAAGTATGAAATCCTATACATTGCATAGTCTCTGGCTTCCTCTAATGGCCAGTTCTGGTAAATACAGCCTAGATAGATAGATAGATTAGATAGATAGATAGATAGATAGATAGATAGATAGATAGATAGATAGATAGATAGGTAGGTAGGTAGGTAGGTAGGTAGGTAGGTAGGTAGGTAGGTAGGTAGGTAGATAGATAGATAGATAGATATACCTGTACACATATTTCTAGGGGAGGGGGGGGTGTTATTTAGTATTTTCAGGCAGTGGATAAGTTAATTAGTGGATACTGATTCGGGGGCGGGGGAAGGATTCCTAATGTATATGTGCTGCCAAAGTGAGTCCTTACTGCTTAAACTGAACTTGTGATCTAAATCCCTGCATTGACAGTTTTTCTACATTTTGCCAGCCAATGGGGTGGAGAGATTTCTCTTTAAAATCAGGATCTTAAAGCAGTAAGGCCATGGACCCCCTACCCCCCCCCAGTGTCTCGGGATCCACCTTGTTCTCTGTCTGCCCAGCCGGCCTCCCAAAATGGTCAAGGGCAGAGATAGACAGACGTGAGAAATAAATAAATAAATGATAAACTTTATTCCAACTCTCTTGTCCTATTTTTCATGGAAAGAAGTGCTCTAAATTTAGTAAATGAGTTTTTTTTTTAAATTGATGTATGTTTCTCCAATGTGCCATGAACATTATTCCCTGATCCATGTCTTTATCTTTGCACGCTTGAATCTGTACCAATGCATCCTTAGGAGCAGGAGCAGCTCCAAAGTAAAGCAGTTTCCAGTTAATTCCTTTGCTCTCCTCTTCGCCTGCTGCTTCCACAGCTCCTGCATCGCTCACTGTCAGTGCGCAGGCAGAAATTCCACCGGGAAAGCCTTCCTTCTCTTCGGCTCTGCAGGAGCAAACTTGGCCAGTTGGATCCCTACCGAAAAGGCGGTGGTTAGCCTTCGGAGGATCTTTCTCTGCCAGGAGGAAACGTGGCAAACTCTCTGGGCTACGAAGAGATGAATCACCGTCTGGAGACGTTATATCATTAAATTAGCCCCCAAAAAACCCAGACCTTTTTCCACTGCTGTTCCATTCCTGGCAAAGGGCAGCTCTGTCTTTCGTACCCTTTCCAGTGAAAAGCTGAAGCCAGAAATGGACGTGCTCTTTCTAATCTTTTTCCATCTTGGCAAAGAGCGAGATCAGACACAAAGGTTCTGGGTCCTTGATAGGTTTGTAGCAGACAAGTGTGCGTTGTTGTTTTTTTTACACAAAGGAGGGAAAAAGCGCTCCGTCCCCTCCCCGCCCAGCAGTACAAAACCTCTTTTTTCCCCCATCATTCTTCAGAATAAAGGAATCTCGTCTACTTTTGTGTCTGGGCATAAGAGGCCTGCTAAGGGGAAGCAAAAATCAAGAGGTTGTCTAGCCACTGGCTCCCCACCACAACCACAAAAGCAAATTCATTCATTCATTCATTCATTCATTCATTCATTCATTCATTCATTCATTCAAAATATTTCTTATCCCACCTTTCTCCTTAAAAGGACCCAAGGAGACTTGTGCCTTCCGGATCTCCTTGAGCAGGACTTGAAGGCAATATCTTTCTCGCGCACGATCTCCAGAATTTCACAGGTAGACCACACTTGAACATGGAGGTTCTATATTAGCCACCACGTCTCCTAGCTACCCCTTGATCTCCCCTGCGTGAGTTTCCTCTGGGTTCCTGCTTCAAAAACTGCAGCTGCCAGCCCTCCGAGGACCTTGCCAGGAGAAAAAGCGACAAGAGGCAAGGAGTGTTGTCATCCTCCTCTCCAGCGGTTGCAAAATTCTCCTCTTGGAAAGGAAGCATTGTGTGAATAGATATATATGCGCAATTTTAAGTCTGTCCACAGCTTGCTGCCAGCCGGTTCCAGCGGATGACCCCAGAAAAAGGACCCTGGATAAATCTGCCTGCCGGTTAAGTCTGCCAATAATTTCGTATCCGGAAGGGTGAAAAAGGGGCCACCAGCACCGGCCACTAAAACGTTAGTCATAGAGACAGGTTTAAATGAGGCTGAGAGCACTGGCAGGGCTGATCCAGACACAGCCTTTCTCAGTGCCATCTCTCCCAAAGACGGTTGTTACGGGCTGTCCACAGTCTTGGACGTGCAGTGACCCTCTGAATGAGTGCTCTCCGAAATGTCCTCTCCTCGACAGTTCTTGCAAACTCAAGCCTGTGGCTTCCTTTAAGGAGTCGGCCCATCGCGTATTGGGTCTCCCTCTTTCCCCGCTGCCTTCCACTTTTCCCAGCAGGATCGCCTTTTGCAGAGAATCCTGCCTTCTCACGAGGTGCCTAAAACAGGACAGCATTTTTGCCTCTGGAGAGAGTTCAGGCTTGGCTTCCTCCAGGACCCACTTGCTTGTCTTTCCGACAGCTGCAAAGCTCTCCTCCAGCACCGCCTTTCGAATGAATTAATTGTTGTTGTTTTTTTTCCTGACAGCTTTCTTTTCTGTTGGGCAGCAGGGAAAGAGGAAGACTGGACAGAAGATAGACTGGCCAAATAAAGGAAGCCACAGCCTTGAGGCTGCAAGGACGGGCTGCTGACAGCAAGATCCACTGGAGATCATTAAGTCCTAAGGCTGGAAGTTGGATAGCACCTAACAATTAAACAGTGGCTCTTCATTTCCCCCTTTTGAGACGGTGATGCCTGAACAAACGGACCTCGACGCTAAGGTCAATAAACCATAACATTGATGAGAAAACCCAACTGGAACACGCCAGTGCTTTGATCTGACAGGTCTTGTCTTTGCTGCTCCACTGCTTATGGGCTTACTTAATAGTTCCTCAGCGTTAAGGGAACTCAGCCATATTCATGCTGTGCATTTTTCTCCCCCTATGACTTCACAGGTATTGCTTTCTTTGGCTCTGCAGCGTCACCCGGCACGTTGAGGTCACAGCAGGCTTGGCGGCCTCCAATCTCGTCGCATTGGCTTAAAAGAAAATAAACAGCTTTGCTGCAGCTCAAGACGGGAGAAATGATTGCAGCCGTCCTAAGGGTGGGACTCTGGGAAATGAAGTCCAAAGCCAGATTTCTCCCGCTCCATGGCTGGAAGCTTTGAAGTCTGTGAACTTCTCCCTGTAGTGGAATTGGCCACAGCGCCTGGGTCGGAAGGGTGGCCTGTGGGGCTGAAAGTGATTCTTCCTTACCTGCCAGAGAGCCTGCCCGCATGGTGTTTGGTACGCGGTTGGTCTACTCTTTTTTCCAGCGTCCACACATGGACGTCACTGGAGCGGACCAATTGGCCCCAACCTGCACCTTATCTGAATGCCTGTCGGGGTTGGAGGGCTCCAGTTGGATCCATTCCAAGCAAGTGTGAGTCACTTAACTAATCTAGACTCTTGCACCTCCTTCTGGTGTGAGTTTCGGCTCTTCTGAAGTGGCTTACAAGCCACCTCAGGATATCGGAAATTGAACCTTTCCCCCGGATTGTCTGTGGAGCTTCAGGGGAAGTCAAACTAATTTTCTTTTTTTTTATTGTGTCTGCTAGGTCAATGCTGATGCAATTGATCACTTTGATTAACTGTAAAACAAAAAATGCTCTCCCTGTCTACGCACGGCTGATCGAAACCACAGCTGCGGGCAGAATTTTGATCGGCAATACATGGACATGTGAAGAAATATATATATAAATTTAATTGAATTCAAGTGATTCATCACATCAGTAACAATCTAGCAGACATTAAAAAAAATTCATTTCCCCAGACCCTCCAGGAGGATCACGGGAAGTGTTTAATTGATTGTAGCAGATTGCTCCACACCCTGACCTCAACCGACCCTTTGTAGCCCAACCCAGCCTCGCCCAAAAGGACCATCAAACTTAACATCGCTCCCGGTGTTGTGTCAAGCAGCAACTAGGATGGTTTTCAAACACCAGAATGAGTCATGATGTGGCTTCATTTAAAAAAGCAACTTACCAAGGTTGCTTTCGAGTAGGAAGAACGAAGGATCTGATCCTTCCCCCCTACCCAAGTTCACAGGATAAGGATCAGCAGCTAGAATCCTAACAGTGGAGTCTACCCAGCCAGAGGCAAAAGGCACGTCTAGAGGAAGCTGCAACAACATTTTAGATCTTTTTTTAGAAGGTTATTATCAGGATACACTGAAGCCATCCATAACTGAGTAGCAGTAAGGAGATGCTCTGGATCCCCAAGAATCATCCTGCCTCAGCCTGCACTGCTATGGACAGCTTCAGCATGCCACTATAATTCATTCTTCTTCTGAGGAATTGGCTAGGCTCTGAAGTGCCAATAGCACTCGGGCCTGAGTTCAAATCCCCACATTTTACATTTTGAGCAAAAAAAAGAAAGAAAGAAATTAAAATTAAAAAGGGTTTTGTTGTTGTTGTTTTTAGTTTCTTGTTGCATAAAATATTTGAGTTCTTGAAAGGTTTCGTATTTTGCTCAAAACGCAAACCTTTAATTTTTTTTCATACACACACAAAAAGCAAAATTTTTGTACAAAATACAATATTTTTCGGGCAACGGCCTTCTATGCTA